AGAAATAGCACAAAAAATTAAAAATGCTAAGCAGAACTATTTTGAAGATGCAAACAAACCAGGCAGATGGCTAGCATATAAATTGAGAAAGGAAAGAGACTTGAGAAGAATAAATCAACTGATAAATAAACAAGGACATGTATGCTATGGAAATGCAGAGAAGAAAAAGATTATTCAAGATTAATATGGAAAATTGTACCATCAAGAGAATGTTCAGGAAGAAAGAATTCAACAATACTTACAGGAAGCAAATTTGCCCCAAATACCCAAAGATATTGAAACAATGTTAGAAAGTAATATAACAATGATGGAATTAACAGAAGCTTTAAAAAAGCAAAACATTGGGAAAGCACCAGGTCCAAACGGTTTGCCAGTGGAATTTTATAAGACATTCCAGGAAACATTGAATCTTTACTTATTAGAAATTATGAATGAAATTATGACAAAGAAGAGAATACTCGAAACATGGTCAGAAGCATATATCACACTTGTACCGAAGGGGGACACAGGCCCACAGCAAGTTAAAAATTACAGACCTATATCACTATTAAATTCAGATTATAAAGTTTTTGCTTCAATTTTGGCAGAAAGACTGAAAAGATACTTAAACAATTTTATTCATCCTGATCAAAATGGATTTTTGCTGAAGAGACAGATTAAAGATAATATGAGAATAATTTTAGATACACTGGAATACTATGAGGCACATCCTGAAAAACAAATGGCTCTGATGTTTATAGATGCACAAAAAGCCTTTGATAATGTGAATTGGCATTTTATACTGTTACAATTGGATCAAATGGGCTTCGGTAAAAAATTTACTCAAGCCATCGAAATGATATATCATAAACAAACTGTAAAGGTTATGATAAATGGAGATTAACAGACTTTATAGATATAAGAAAAGAGACCAGACAAGGCTGTCCACTGTCACCTCTGTTACTTGTGTTAACACTGGAAGTGTTGAATAGGAACATCAAAGAAGAAAAGGAAATAAAAGGAATGAAAATTTAAAAAGAAGAGTATAAATTACAAGCCTTTGCAGATGACCTGGTATTTATATTAGAGGATCCATTGGAGTCTGCACCTAAACTGATAGAAAAGATAGAAGAGTATGGGAAAGTAGCAGGTTTGAAAATAAAAGATTTTAGCAAAGAACATGTTAGTAAGACGAAAGAAAGAATTGGAGGAAGTTTTGGGGATCCAGGTCACAAACAAGGTTAAGTATTTAGGGACACCAAGATGTAGCACACTTAAGGAGGACAAATATCTCAAACTTAAACAACAGATTGCAACAGATTTGATAGAATGGGAAAATTTACAATTGTCACTGATTGGGAGAATATCTACAATTAAGTTGAATGTATTGCCTAGAATCTTATACTTATTCCAGACAATTTCAATCAGATTAGGGAAAGAATTTTTTGAAGATTTAAACAAAATAGTGCTAAAATACATTTGGCAGGGGAAGAAAGCGAGAATAAAACTTAAATTGCTACAAGATGCAAGAATAAGAGGAGGATTTGCTTTGCCCAATTGGGAATTATACTACCAAGTGACGAGTCTGATGTGGGTAAAGGAGTGGATAACACTAAGGAATACTAGACTTTTGAATTTAGAAGGACATGACCTGCTGTTAGGGTGGCATGTCTTTCTGTGGTATAAGGGAACTAAAATGCAGGGGTATTTTAGAAGACATAATATTTGAGAAGCATTGTTTCTAAACTGGGAGAAGATAAGAAAGCAATATTATTTAAAAATTCCACTATGGTTATCTACTATTGAAGTTTTTTCCTACCCAATAATATATAAAAAGGAACAAACAGTTAGATATGGTGAGAATATTGAATGAAAAGGGTGGACTTAAATCTATGCAAGCGTTGGAAGAACAAGGTATAAAAAGGAATTGTTTTTCATATTTGCAAATACAATCTAGATTTGATAAAGATGTTAAAACAGAAGATATCTATGATAAGTTGACTGATTTAGATAAAATCTTGACAGGTACTGATGAAAAAGTAATCAAAAAACTTTATGGACATTTGCTAGAGTTAAAATTAGAGGAAGAACAAGTAAAAGAAACAATGATTGCATGGGGGGAAAATTTCGGATTTGGGATTGACCTAGATAAATGGCAAAAATTATGGTCTCAAAATTATAAAATGACAATGTCAACTGCATATAAAGAAAATTTGTATAAGATTTTTTACAGGTGGCACTTACTTCCAACGAGAATTGCGAGGATGTTTAAATCGGATAAATGTTGGAAATGTCATCAGATACCTGGTTCATATTATCACATGTGGTGGACATGCTCAGATGCAAAAAGATATTGGACTATAATCTAGACATGGTTGGAAAAAAGGACAAAACAACACATAGACTTTAAACCTGAGATATCTTTATTGGGAATTATACCAGAAATATATTGTAAAGAATTGAAATATTTGATTGTAAAAGTTTTAACAGCGGCTAGAATTGTATTTGCTAAGAATTGGAAAAATGAAAAAATACCTATGCAGGAGGAAATTATTAAGAAAACCATGGACTGTGCCGAAATGAGTAAATTGACATTTGAAATTAGAGAACAAGAGGATAAACAATTTTATATGATATGGGATTTATTTTATCAATGGTTAGATAAGACATGGTAAAGAAATAGATTAGTAAACCTTACAATAAACGCTAATAGACTGATAAAGAATACAATATAAAATATATAACCATTGGATGAATGTATAAGATTAAATCATAATGAAAATTGGAATATCTCGTATAAAATGATGGAAAAATAGTCAAATGAATGTTTAATAATTAATATCATATAAGCACAAGCTAGACTGATAAGGTGAGAATTTATATAACTCGTGAGTAATGGTAAAAAAGGATAGCACAAAAGATTGTAACCAACTGACACACTGTATGTATATAATTGAAAGAGGGCTTTATGTTTTGTTCGTATGTTTGTTGTAAAAAATAAAAACTTTGAAAAAAAAAGAAAAGAAAATGTAAAATGATACAGAACTGAAATGGTCAATATTGTTTTCAGAAGTACATGTGGGTGATAAGATCTCTATAACCTGCTTTTAACCTGGCACATGGCTCTGATTTAATGGAGTGGAAAGTTTAGCTCTTTGGCAAGCAATACCCTGTTGAAAATTGCTGTCTTAAGAAGGCAGCATGAATAGGATCAAAGGTGAGAGAGAAAGAAATGGAAAATACCAATCTTTCTTTTGGAAGCTAGTTGTGTTAATGAAGATCCACTGTGATGATGTTTGAATTCAAGGAAGTTGGGAATCAGTTCCTGGCAGGAGAGATGCAAAACTTCTTAGAATTTTGTGCCTCAGGAAATGTCAGTCATTTTTTAAAAAACGAATACAACAGGTCATGGGGATTCTTTGCATAAAATAATTTTTGTTCCATTCCCTTTGTTAAAATTATTCTTAAATAAAATAACTGATGTAGGATTTGATGCAATTTTTTTAAAAAAATGATTGTGGTTCCCCAAACATCAAACACAATAAAAAATTCCAGACAAACAAAAATAGTAAAACATACTAGACTTTTATGGTTGACAAACAACTAGCTATATGTAAGCTTTTTTGGCATGAGTCTGGCTATAACTATGTTTCTAAACATTTAACCCAGTAATATATCTAACTCAAGCCTATTCATTAAAAAATTGATGGTGACAGAATGTGCAATATAAACATTAAATGATTTGCTAGCTAAATACTCTGTGCCTAGAATCCCATTTAGTGTAAAATACAGTTTTATATATATATATATGTCTCTCTCTGAAAGTACCTATATTTCAGTTCTGAGTTGGAACCTACAGTATTCAAAGTCTATTTTTAGTATATATTTCTAGAGCTGTATGAAGCCTAGATTATTTTTAATGAGGAAGATATTTAAAACATTGAAACCAATATGACAAGAATATTCTTGCAGCATAAACCTACTCAAAGTTAATTGCAAGTATTTGAAACACAAGTTGCTGAGCCTACCACTGAGCAACACAAAAACTCAGGATACATTTCCTGGTGTATAACATTCCATCTGGATTATTTGTCTTCTCTGAGAATTGGTTTTTTTTTGGGGGGGGGGAAGTGGGGATGAATGGGAAGAATGTTGGAGCTTCTAATATGACATTGAGCTGTTACAACTTATAGTTTATTGGTCATACTAGTTCAATAGGAAGTAAAACTGTCATAGAAAAACCCACAATGAATAATATTTTCATGTCCCCTTCCTGCTAATACATGAATGCACATGGAGGTGTAGCCCCATATAACTTTTACTCCTTAAAACTTCTCGTTTTGACCAATGCCCCAGTCCTCACTTCAGAAGTTATAGGAACTACATCAACTTGATTCTAAACATTCTCATTCCTCACGATTATTTATACCATAGGAACCATAGGACATGATTAGAGGCAAGGAAACCAGATCCATTCTCTCTTTTCTCTGTACGTCACAATCCCAGAAAGGGGAGCATCTGACAGTTCATGACAGGAGAATTTTAATTTAAAAAAGTTTTTTTTAATCTTACCTCAGAATTAGATTGGAGAACACATAGATGCACCATGTGTCAGTGGCATTGAAAAGATTCTGAAATGGACTCACATTTATAGAAGTAGCTGCAATACCCAGTGTTACAACAGAGAAATTGGAATAAACAAAGCAGAGGTTTGGAAAGAATGTGATCGTTCATGCTTCCAGGCGTTAAGTCAGTCAAAATTGGGAGGAAGGAGGTCGGGGGAGGGGGAGAGATTGTTTCTGAGGAGACATTTACTGCGTGCTTCAGGATCTTTTCCTCTTGTACAGCTAGTGTAGGCAACCGTCACTGCACTGGAAGTGAACATCCAATAATCATGACAGTATGGCATTCCCTGTAACCCTTCTTTAATCTGATAAACATGGCAGAAAGAAGAGAGGGAATTCTTTATATGCATTTCTTTGGGTTTTAAGTTATAAACAACAGGAATTCAGGATCATGTGAGAAGAGAGATGGTGAAAGAAACAGAATGCAGGAAGTCAGGGGAACACAAGAGGCCAGGATCGGATGGGATCCATTCCAGGACATGAAAGGAAGTGACTAAACTGATACATACCTAATAAAGAAACACAAATGGAGAGAGGAAGACACCAAGGACTGGTGAGATGCTATTCTAATACTTAAATGTTTATAGGTCAAAATCCAGAAATGCATAGGCTTAAAACACTGGCAATGGAAAAGAGGCTGCTTTGAAATAAATATCATGAGAAAAAAAAAGCCTCTGGAAGGGTGGATGAGAAAGACTGACAGAGAATAAGGCAGTTATCTTTGTAGGTCTTGCAAGGACAGGCTGGTGGTGCTTGGGAGGGGTTTTTTAAAATAATTTTTAAGAGAGCCTGGAGCTATAGCACTCAAAGTGCTATCCAGGGAAACTGCTTTGTCTTGTTTTCACAAATCTTCAGCCAACTTGTCACATACCTCCAAAGATTAACTTGGACTGATTTATAGCCCTCAAAGGTCCCAGACTCAGCAAATCTTCTTTGAAGCTTAGCCTGACAACATCTGGAACCAGAGTTCAAGAAATGAGGGCACCTTTTTTCTTCCTGACAGACACCACTTCCTAAGGCAATGTAAGATTTACAAAATTAGGCATGTTTAATAATGACATTGAAAGGAGATGGGCTTCTTTTTTTAAGTTTGTGTATGTTTATTTTTAAACTTGTTTTATGATACTGTTGTGCCAACAAGCTGTGGAGAAATTGAAATACAAGAGTTTCTATTAACACCTCAATTGTCATGTACCAAGGACATATTACTTTCATTCATCTAGTTCTAGATTATCTACAGACTGGCAGAAGGTCTCTAGGTATTGCACTCCAATCTGCTCCAGGCCTATTTTGAAAAGCCAGGAATCTGAACCCATCATATTTTGCATACAAAGCAGGAATATCTATAGCCTTTGTGCAGTAAGGGGGAAATTATCAGTTTTTCCATAATAATTATCAACCCTCCTTTACCAAAAATAATGCAGTTTTCAAAATTATTACCTCCTCTTGAAATATATTAATTGAATTCTTCATCAATTTACACAAGGAAAATTCCATAGCTGTAGTTATTCCTAGCATAGACACTATTGTGTAGCGTTGAGCAAATTACACAAATGTTCAGAGCAAAATGTTCGAAGTTCTCTACAGGTTCATATTGCACCACTTTCCAGGTTTTGGCCTTCCACTGATGAAGACATTTATGAATTATAGTCATATAAGAAACAACAGCCCCTACACCCCTCCAAATAATTATTTCTGATCCATACAATGCTTTATTAATAAAGAATCACTTGTGGTCAGCTGAATTTAAAGGAGAACAAGACATGGGAAGAAGAGAGAATAGTTTATCCTTGAAAATTTCCTGGGATATTTTTCCCTGTCCAAAATCTGGCAAAGACATTGAATCCTCTTGATTTTTTGTGCCATACACTAGTTTTTGTTTGTAATGATTTTCCCGTCATTCCCTCAGATGCATTTCCTTTTTATCTCTGCAATATTAATTTCTCTAAAAAGTATTAATAATGAGTTGCCTCTCCCTTTCTTGATTGTTCTTGCCTGCAGCACTAACGCTTTGAATTTCCTTTTCCTGTTTATTATCTGGATGTCTTGCACAGTGTGCATGTTTGGGTGTGCATATTGACTTTGTTGTCATGATTATAGAGAACCTCAATTCCATTGGTTCTTTTGAGGTTTGGGAGTTGTATGTAAGCTGTTCAAGGAAGTTAAAACAAATGTTAATTTATTTTCAGCCTGCTAGCAGTTATTCAGTTATGGGTGCAAACATAAATATTTTACTGACAAAACAGGAAAGTTGAACTAATGAATAATTACACTGTTATTCTGGGCTGGCAGAAATATCTACTACAAATTCATATTTGGTTTCCAAAAAAGGTTTTTTTAAGTAGTTACACCAGGGACAAGTATGTTTTCCCCACCCTCTTTGTGCTTTATAAAAATGAACTACTTATTAAAGCTCTCTCCTGAAGCAAAACAATGGAACAAAATAATACTTTCAGCAACAACTGCCAGAGTACAAAGGATGTGAGTTTAGAGGATGGTAGGTTTTTTTTTTTTTAAAGTTCAGGAAGTTTTGTTGTTGGAAACTCCTCTTAACTTGCTCTTGCTTTGTACTATGTAACCACTGTCTGGTTTTGGATATTGTGTCTTTTTTTGGTCCCATTTAATGCCTTCTGTATTTGCCAAGGGATGGGCCCTAGTGCTATTCAGAAAGCTGAATTTGTGAATGACCTCCTGTTTTCCACTGAGTCTTTGAAATTGGAGAGGCTCATGATAGAAGCAGCCTTGAAGAATTTTCAGGTGCAAAGATTTTTTTTTTTATGTGCTTACAAAACTGCTTATCTTTTCTTTTCCTTTTGACCCCACTATGTGCAAAGTACGATTTGTGAAAATCATGATCAAAATGCTTATTTAAAATTTTCAGGGGGAGAAAATACAGGACATTTTAGGGGAAAATGAGGTTGGAAAATGAAAAGTAAATCAATGCAGTAATGAGAAATAGATCTCCTAAGTGTTTGGATCAAGTTTGGCTCATTAATTAATTACTTTTTTTGTCTTGCCTAATAAATATGAGAAAATTCTGAATAGTAAATGGGATTGATTTGTTAAAGCAAAAATATATCACTTATATTGACACAGATGTAGGTAACAATGCGACTACTTTCTGTTCACTTCACTGCATGTTGCCAGTGACAAAGGTCATTTATAATATTTTTATTATATAATCATTTTTACCTATGTGAATGATATGCAATTTCAATGTTTTGTTTTGGTATCTATTAAACAGAATATCTCGGGGTGCTTTTCAGACTATAACTATTATCCTCTCTCTCTCTCTCTTTAGGTCTGAAGAAAAGGTAATGGCAACAACGCAGATCAGTATGTCACAAGCTTCACTAGTCAATGGCAGCATCAGTGCTAAAATGAAGAGAAACAAACCTCGTGTGATGTCTAAAAGTGGTCACAGCAATATCAGAATTGACAAGGTAGATGGTATTTACCTGCTTTATCTTCAGGACCTGTGGACCACAGTTATTGACATGAAATGGAGATATAAACTTACATTATTTGCTGCTACTTTCATCATGACTTGGTTTCTGTTTGGAGTAATTTACTATGCCATTGCATTTCTTCATGGAGATCTGGAAGAGAGCAGATACCCTAACAAACATGTCCCCTGTGTCATGAATGTAGATTCACTAACTGGGGCATTTCTCTTTTCTTTGGAATCCCAAACAACCATTGGTTATGGCTTTCGGGTTATCACTGAGGAATGTCCTCATGCCATTTGTCTCTTGGTGGCTCAGTTAGTTCTCACTACGTTGATTGAGATTTTCATTACTGGAACTTTCCTGGCCAAAATTGCTAGACCTAAAAAAAGGGCTGAGACCATTAAGTTCAGTCATTATGCTGTCATAACCAAACACAATGGACAGCTTTGCCTTGTAATCCGTGTAGCAAATATGAGAAAGAGCCTCTTGATTCAGTGCCAGTTAACTGGAAAGCTTCTTCAGACCTATGAAACTAAAGAAGGAGAAAGGATTCTGCTAAACCAAGCTAGTGTCAAATTCCACGTGGATTCATCATCAGAAAGCCCTTTCTTGATTCTACCTCTGACTTTTTACCACATTTTGGATGAGAGCAGCCCCTTAAATGACCTGACATCCCAAAATCTAAAGGAAAAGGATTTTGAACTCATTATCCTTTTGAATGCCACAGTAGAATCCACGAGTGCTGTATGCCAGAGCCGAACTTCATATATTCCAGAGGAGATCTTCTGGGGTTTTGAATTCCTGCCTGTGATTTCTCTTTCACAGAATGGAAAATATGTTGCAGATTTTAGTCAATTTGAGCTGATCAGAAGAAGCATTGACTGTACATTGTACAGTATGGACCCTGAAAAGCAAAAATTGGAAGAGCAATATAGAAAGGAAGACCAGAGGGAGAGAGAACGCAGAACCATGTTGTTACAACAAAGTAATGTCTGATGGCTCACCTATAACAAATAATATTGTATATAACACTTTTAACTGAAAGTCGTTTACTCAAACATTATGATTTTATCAGAATGCATCATTAATTCTTTTTCAGTTTTTGTGTAACATATGCCACAATAATGGAAAGTGGAGGTGTATTTTGGGAGTATGGAAACCTGCCTTAAATATGAATAAAACTGTTATTGGGGCTAGCAGTGGCACACCAGAGTTCCAGATAGGGAATTTCACTAGTGCTATTTAGAGCTGGATCCATGTCACCTACTGACATCTTTCTCCAGTGCTGAAATGAAATAGAATGGTTAGCCCATTGACATTGCCCTCCCAATGACTTTGTGATCTGTATCATTGGTGATGAGCTACGCTGTTTTGTCCACCGTAACACAGGGTAGAAAGTCAGTAGAGTTAGTGGCTCTACTTCTTAACCCCTCCCTCCATTCTTGCCGTTAGAGACAGGGTATGTTTAGCATGTCGATCTCCAGAGCTATACTATCTTCCTGTTGGCTAGTGTTTGATATATGATTTTTAATAGTTGTGCCTGAAGTTTGATATTTTGAACATATTTTCCAGATATAAAAATCTACACTGGTGTTTGTTTTAGATATAAATAGCAATTTTTTAAAGTTTGTTGACAGAAAACATTATGAATACTGGTACTTTGTACAGTGACACCATGATATGATGAAGACAGTTTGTGTGATTCTGCCAGACTTCTTTTGTGTGGATCTTAATTGCCATTTTTCTAAACTGACATTTTTCTGCTTGTCCAGTTTAAATTTGTACATTATTGATAATGCATAAGATCAAAATCAGAATGGAAAAAGAGGAAGATCAAGCTTTGCTCTGAGTTCTCTCATCAGCACATTACTGATTAAAAACTATATAGGAATTTCTCACATTTTTATTTGTGTTCCACCCTTATTATTTTTATAAGTAGATAAAGGTGCAACCCTATCCAATACACTTTCCTTCTTCTATTATCCCCAGAATAACAACCCTGTAAGGTGGGTTGGGCTGAGAGAGAGAGACTGGCCCAAGGTCACTCAGATGGCTTTCATAACTAAGGGAGGACTTGAATTCACAGTCTCCCGCTTTCTAGCCTGGTGCCTTAACCACTAGACTTGATTCTTACGTAAATAATGGTTTAAGGAAAGTATATGCACACATCCTTCTTGTGGTCATTTTAGATGAGCAAGAAAGAATGAAGTAAATGGCTCCATAACCTTTTTCTTGAATGCAAACTCCTTTTTGCCCAGACAGTGTTCAGTTTACTCACCAGTGCAAATGATTGGCCCACAATGCTGTTCTCTCTCTCTCCCTCCCCCCACTCTCTCCCTCCCCTCCCATAATTTGACAGATTTAAAAACATGTAAGGATGGTATTGAAGACAACAATCATATAGGGGAAATGCTAATAACAATATTTTGCTTTTATGAAGTAATCTATTTTAAAAAGTTGTTTAGCTTTGCTTTAGAAAACTGTTTAATGCTCTTAAATAAAGGATTCTGAAATAGTGAAAATATTTGTTTGCACATGTTGTCTGTGAATGCCTGCTGTGCTATTAATAAGACATGTATAAATGGTACTGTCAGCAATTAGTTTTTGCAGACAACTGTGTCACATGTTTCTAGTTACTGTCTGGTTACATTTTCAAAGGGTCAGAAAAATCATTTCCCCAGTTGTGCATTGTCCTGCTCCTGGTAACACCACATTTTGACAAATCATCCCAATCTCATTATTCCTAGATCTATCTGCCTTCTGACATTCAGATCTGCCCTTGGGCTTATTTCATAACTAGTTTTTCTTTTGAGACTGTTTATTAAAGGGGAATTCTATAGTATAGTATAGTAACTGGTATACATAAACAGGCATCTTTGATGTACAGTACCTATCTGATCTGGTGTGACAATATTTTATCTAGAGGAGTCTATAATCTAGTTTAGACATGGTTCCAGATAGTTGTTACTGTTTATACAGACTCAGTTTTAAGCACAGCCTAAACCATTAATACAATGTAAATTTGAGACATGAAGTTCTTAGTTTCAGATAATTCTGTATAATTTGGGCAGTAACTGCTAATGCAAAACTACACAAATAACCTCTAGAGCAGGGGTGTCAAACTCGTGGCTCACAGGCCAGATGCATCACTCACTGGTCACACCTACATCTGGTTTAGTGAAGGGGAGGAAAGTCGCAATATGTCAAATGATGACTCTGTGATGATGTGAGTTTGACAGTGCTGCTCTAGAGGTTGTGTTGAATTTAGATGAACTTAGGCAAAGAATTCAGAGACAAAACTCTTCCTACACTGATTCATTCTGGAACATTAAAACACAGAAACTTTGAGCTCTCCTTGCCACAAAGTTTGGCTCAACCACTTTAAAAATCTGCTCCAGAGGTTAGCGGTCCTCCTGGAATCACATGGAACGTGGTCCTCATAAAACATGATGACAATTGCTTTTTCTCTTCTCCTTTCTATGCGACATAAGCTCTGCTAGATCAGCAGCATTTTCCACATGATAGGAATCCTGGAAATATCTTCCCTAGAACCAATCTTTTTTTTTTAAGAGGTATTTGAATTGGTCATAGTCATTACTTTCTGAGTCATTTCTCTCAATGGATATCAAGTCTGCAAGCTTATTAAATTTACTTAAGAGGGAAAATAAAACCCACACTGAAATGACCAAGATAATATCCTTTAGAATGCCTTCTGCAAATTTCCATTTAAAATAACTGCAGAGATGAATTCCATTAAGGCAATATAAAAGAGAAAGCGTGGACGCTAATTATTATTCATGAATTATTCTTCATTTCTCATTTAACTCATCCCATGCTTGAGTAATTGTTCTTTCATTGAAGGAAAAGTTGCATTGTATTCAATAAAAGATTAAATAAATAAGTGGATAAAATAGGATGCCTAAAAAGAGACTCTCAAGGGCAAGTTAAAGGATTAAATTTATTGTCATGAGTTCTCATTGTGAAGTGAGTCAATATTTATAGATTATCTGAAAAGATTTGAGTTTGTGTTCTAAGAGTTACTTCAGGTAAACATTACCCAAATGCTATTCTTCCCCCAAATAAATGTGATGTTCGTCAGAATCTAGCCTTGCTACAACAACAAGCACCAACAACCCAACTAGATACAGGAAGGAAGGCTTTGTGTTGGGACTGTACCTTTCAAAATTGCCAGCAAGTTTGAAGAAGGTGCATAAGGTTTCTTCTTCTTATGAAATATTTAGCTTGCAGTGTATAGAATGACATATTATGGGTAGCTGCATCTCATTATTTCTTCATGTGCTATTTTAAATACTTTATCTCTTAAACTGGTTTACAAAGCAGTTTATGGTACAATAGTCCCTGGACATAACCACAAGAGAACCATGTGATATAGTGGTGTAAATGCTGGATTGGCACTAAGGAGACTTCAAGTTCACCCTCAGTCACAGAAGGTAACTGAATGCCTCTAGACCAGGCGTCTGCAACCTTAAACACTGAAAGAGCCATTTGGACCCATCCCACAGAAAAGAAAACACCAGGAACCAATAATTTAACAACCAGTGTGACTGGGTGGGCGTGGCCAATTCGACATCACTCACTCCCATCCAGTCACCTCCTGCTCTGGAATATAGAGCGAGTCTCCATCCTCCACCATCTCCCTTATCTTCTCAGGCCAGGCAAGGAGTGTTGGGGAGGGGAGGAGCCAGCCAGTGGTGGGATCAGCTGACAAGGAGCCGCAGCAGAGCTGCATGTGGCTCAGAGCCTCAGGTTGCAGACCCCTGCTCTGTGCCCATCACTACCTCTCAGCCTAGCCATGAAGAAGGTGAAGGGAGAATGAGAAACAAGCATAGATGCTACTTTCTAAAATTATTGTTGTCACTACCAGGTAGAAGGGAACAGCTGAGGTAGTCAGCTATAAAGAGATAGAGTTAATAAAGAAATGCCAAAAAACCATGCAAAACCAGTGGACAATCTACAAAGAAATAAAAAGCTATGAATTACTTTTCTTTTCTTTCTGAAACCTGCTGGCATCTCATGGATCATAAAATGCAAAGTTAAGAGTAAAGGATGGGGCCTTGGAGATTTAAATAAGAATCGCCACTCATAATAAAGCTCATTAGAGTGAATTGTGCTAATCAATCATTCATCCAAATCTACTCCACAAGGAGTATGCAACAGAAGAAGGAGAATCTTCAAAAGAAATCTGAAATAAAATAAAATAAATTTTCAAAATGGTCACTAAGCAATCGGCAAATAAAAAATATTTCTTTCTGGAACTAACAGTAAAAATAATGTCATTATTATTGTTAGGATTCCTTATAACATTAAAGAGGCAAGTGGAGAGGAGAGGGGGAAGCGATGAATAATATAGGTAGCCCCTGACTTATGACTTCAATTGAGATCAAAATTTCTGTTGCTAAGCAAGACATTTGTTATGTGAGTTTTGGCCCATTTTACGACCTTTCTTGCCACAGTTGTTAAGTGAATCATTGCAGTTGTTAAGTTAGTAGCACAGTTGTTAAGTGGGTCTGGCTTCCCCATTGACTTTGCTTGTCAGAAGGTTGCAAAAGGAAACGACATGACCCCGGGAGACTGTAATCATCATAAATATGAGTCAGTTACCAAGACTCTGAATTTTTAATCATGTGACCATGGGGAATCTGCAACGTGTGAAAAATGGTCATAGGTCATTTTTTTCAATGCTATTGTAACTTGGAATGGTCACTAAATGAACTGTTGTAAATTGAGGACTACCTGTATAATGAATGTCCCCAAAGATAAATCTTTGCATCCCTTCTTCCCAAGTTGAATTTGGAAAGAAAGATGGAAATGGCTAAAAGAAAGTATAACTTTAATAAGAGTCCCACTGAATATATAGGGTTCAGAAATCTAACTTTAATGTCTAGGTTGAATCAGGTACCTATAAATGTTTTACAGTTCTTTTCATGTTTTACAAAATGTCTGTATCTCAAAAAGCTTTTTGAAATTGAAATCGCTACATTTTACTGCCGGCTTCTGACCTACATTTATTTGTGTCAGACTTGGTAGGGTTGTTCTTTGTAGTCTACTTTGCAGTCAAAGTGATGTGTCGGAAAAACAAAGGGCAGGAAAACAGAGCCAGTTGGCTCCCTAACCCTTAGTTGCTTAATAACTTCCTAGAAGAAGGAAGGTATTTATCCACCCTTCCTCTTTAATGTCCTTTAAATATTGTATTCCTATTTGCTACACAAATAGCCTGTGGTCTGTAGGAGTGTCTGGAAGTCTGAAACATTTTAAAGGCCTTTATTCATTCCTCCAAAAATTCCATAGAACATCACTCATAGAAAGGCTTATAATGAATGCAGGATGTGTACACTATACCACTAAAACCTAGTTAAATAAACTTGAAGAAAAGAAGATCAAAACATGGAAAATAGAGACATTTGTACTGAGTAATATTCATGTTCACTGGGTGTATCATACAGTACAGCCAGAGGTGGTATTCAACAGGTTCTGACCAGTTCTGGAGAACTGGTAGCAGAAATTTTGAGTAGTTTGGAGAACCAGCAAATACCACCTCTGACTGGAGATTTTACAGTATCCTTCTCCTGCCACACCCACCAAGCCATGCCCACAGAACCAGTAGTAAAAAAAAAAAATGAATCCCACCACTGAGTACAGCTATACATCAGATGAGAGAAGTGACAGGGAAACACTATTAAAACTTGGAAAATTATATCGGAATTATTAGATATTGATCAGGATTTTGTCTTACATTTTTGATTTGGCTATACTTCTGCTACAATTCATTTGTTAATGAATTCTTTTATGGGAATACAAATTTTCCAGGGTAGGCCCTCATGTTGCCAAAATGGCACCGTTTCCATACAAAATGGAGATATCAACAGCATGGGAAGAATCCTAACATTTATTGAAGAAAAAGAAAACCCAACAAAAGAAAAGTTAGGAAGGTTAAAAATCTAATGGGATAATTTACTTCTAATATTTAAGAAAAATCAG